CTACAGTACTGTACGCTACATGTTATATTTCAGGCTACTAGAGGAGCTGAGATAGAAAAGGAAGTCTGTCCGTCCTAAGAGACAGCTAAAGGAAATATTTGTTTGCAGTCGTTCTCATTAGAAAGTGAGAGAAAGAAGAAGGAATGGGGCCATAATTGACCAGACACCAGCATGGCAAAAAGTTAACAGCAGACTGTCAGAAGCCTCAGTAGTTAGTCATGATCTGAGCAAGAGGCTAGGCAGCACAGCACAGACATCTGATCCAAAATGGCTTCAGCCAGTAAAATTCAGAAAAGGGATTAGCTTATTTTAACAAAGGCTTTGGGAATTGGACCATAGGAAAGGTATTCTCTTGATCCATACGTTTTGAATGGCTTGGATTCATTTTTGCCTTTTAATGTAACGGCCTTTCAGTAGAAAAGACAAGGTATACCATCTCTGTACGCTGTGTCTCCGGTAAGAAGCGGTGAAAGCAAAAGAAATTATAAAGAATAGGTAAGAGACAGTACTGAGAACGTGGTAATTTTGTCCTGTAAGGCAATGGCACTCAGTTACCTGAAGTATTTATCTTCTAAGACCTGGTTACCTGATCTCAAGCAGCATGTGCCAGAAATACAAAGGGTTTGGTGTTTGATAAGGATTAGAGATGCAGAGAGAACAATGAGATATGAGATTGTTTTAGACAGGAGATATAAGTGAAGACTTACATGAAATTTATGAGGTTTGGTTTAAGGTCTTTACTTTTATTCAGTCTTCCTTGATCACTTCTTAAAGCCTTCACAGTGCGCCTTCTTTGTGAGGATAAGATGGTTTTGACTCTGAAATTGGCACTTGGGACTAGAGTGACCTCTCCAGTGAGCTCCAGTTAGGTCTTCTCTTTTGCTGGGAACTTGATTAAGTTTGTAAGAGAAATACAATGACACAGACAGCCTTCCCAAAGCAAGCCACTATTTAATAAGGATCCAGAATACTGGGTAAGGTCTAATATGGCCAAACCACACGTAGGCAATCAGAAGTGACTGTTCTCTCTCATCCCATGCCCTTCTGGGTCCCACCTCTTTTCTTCTTTGCTCTTAAGCTGATGCTGCATGGCAGGAAAACTTAAGTAATATCATTCCTACTACTTCTTGGCATACTGGTCATTAAAAAGTAATGCCTGGTTGTGAGGCTCCCATCGTGTGCTCTGAAAGGCTCCATCCTGCAGAGAGTAACCTCCTCCCTTTCTTACCAGTCTGGACACCCCAACACTGCTTCATTGCACTTCTCCCAAAACAGAGGAGAAGTTAAGCAGTTTTACCCCACAGCTATATAGTGGGAAAACAGAGCCATGCATCAAAATAATTGAAATATTAAAAAAATTGTCATTATCTCCATGTGCTTAACATGCTAACTTTGCTACAAGATGGACTTAAAGAAAGCTTAAACGGTGGATATCAAGAGCAAGCATTGTCACATTTCAAGCATATTCCCCAACAAACAGAGAATATCCATCAGCATGTGCCAGATGAGCGAATGAACAAGTAACTTACTACCTTGTCCAGGTATTTTGCACATGTGTGCATGCTGTATCACCTGCATCTTTGAAGAGTCAAGTTGTAACTGCAAAGCTGTTTTCAAAAGAGTTGTATGAAGCCTTTATGCAATGAGGCAGCCAAATCTGCCAAGAAGAGAAGGAAAGTCAGGGCTTCAAATCAAGCCTCTTTTCTTCCAGGTTGCTTTGAATTTGGCGCTTACTAAACAGCTCATTTTCAGTCTTAAGTGTAGCCAGTTCCCACACAGGCTGTTCATCCCTCTTGGCATTCCTCTTTGAATTCAGCTTTGTTTTTGTTGGCTGAAAGAATTGTAATTAAAGGTTCATATTTTCTTCCCCTGCAGGTACAGCTAGGTTTTTGACAGCCTTGGTGAGAAGCATGGAAGATGCAAGGTTCTGGCATGTATGAGGCTGAAGTGCAGGTATTTTATCACAAGAATCCTGCGTGGCTCACCCAGGTGGATGCAGTGATGAGCTGTATAGGCTCCAGACAGTTGCATGAAGCTGAGAGTGATAAGAAACCACATTTCCCATAAGGACAGAGGTGTTAATTATGTCTGGGCTGGCCTTGTACATTAAACTACACTTGTAAGAAGAGAGAAATGTTCTTTTGTGGGGACCCTGGTGCAAGAAACTGGCAGTGGGATAAATGTGACCAGCTGAAGTGTTAAAATGATTGGAGACTGCCTTTCATTTACTTTGATTTGGCAATATCTCTGGAAACAGTTGGTGGCTTCAGTATCACTCCTGGAACACCACCATTTCCCTCAGAACTGCCACCTGCTTTGGAAATCTTGACATTTGAAGAAAACCCAAAATATGTGATTCATTTACAGTTAGATTTGTGGGGGCATATTCCTACTCGTGGTGCTCCATTGTCTTTGGCAAATATCATCAGGAAATAATTTATTTGCAGAGCATGTGCATAACATATATGTAAGAGATTACTTGTAAATGCCAAGTTTGCCCACACCTATAGCATTAACAAAAATACCCGTCTCATGTTTCTAGCACATGGAGTACTAAAATGTGGCATTTTCCTTGAGTTGGGAAGGAAAAGGTGTCTTTGAGACAGGAGATCCTTGGCCCTGGTGCACTACAGGTCACTTTGTTTCTGGATTTGTTTTTTTTTTTTCAGGGTGGTACCTAGAGAATTTTTTCAGATGATTCAACGATGGCTTCTGTCCATGAATAATGAGGTTGAGAAGAGCAATGTGCATTTGAATGAAAAAGTAAGTGCAAGCCTGAAACTGCTAGGGATAAGAACACCGTATCTAGTATTCAGTCTTTTCTTTAATTTCCATCTGGCCAGAGCATAGTTGTGAGGAATGCTTGTTTCTCTTTCGACACTTTCTTTCCTGTTTGAGTTGAGATGTGGTGTTTGTCTTGCAGCCAAAGAGCAGAGGAGAACTCTAAAAATAGCTGTAAGGTCTCCTATACAGTACATGAACACAATTTTATTGTTTCATCTTCAGTAAGCATTTCCTCTGGAATAACTTCGGTTGTTCCTGTTCGGAGAGCTGTTGTGGCTGCTAGCTGTCAGTGGTTGTACTTCTTTCTCCCAGGATTGTAGTCTAGAGGCTCTCACTATGCATTTTTAAAATATTCTTTAAGTGTGGTGTGTGATTTTT